GAAGCGAAGATCGGATCCAATCTCCCTGGATCCAACCCAACGGCAGCCCCGAGCGCGATGAAGACCCCCGATTCGTCTTCCTGCTTTTCGCCTCCCGCGTCGCCTTCTTCACGCGTTCCAGCGTCGCCGTTCTCTCCTTCCCCATGGCGGCGGAGCGGTGGCGTCGAGAGTGGAGAAGCCGGATGGGGTGAAGGAGCAAGAGGAAGAAGAAGGAGAATGGGCACGCACAGTGCGGACGCCTCGGTCTCGCCGCTTTTAAAGGCCCACTTCCGAGTGGCTGACGCGTGGGTCCGGGCGATCCTGTCAAATCCCTCAAACAGTCACGCACGGGATAAGTGGCGAAAAAGGTGGCGCAGAAATCGAAACGCCCCGTCTATCCACTTCGCTTACCATGGCACGTTCCGTCTGGCGCGCTCCTACCGAAATTTCGAATCCCGCGAAATCCGGGATCCTCGGCAACTGATCACACCAAAGATTTCGCATTAAAGATGACACTCGACAGGCGATGTTATAAAAACCAATCGGTAATTGCTGAATCGATCAAGGCGACTGAAACGAAGCTGAAAGTTCCAACACTGGCCTCTATTCAGAGATGAATTCTTGAGAAAGGCAAGATCAACTTCAACCTTCTTTTCACTCGGACCTCAATCCATTCGGGGGCTAATGATGAGGACATAGACCGGGGGTAGGGTAATAGGCCTGACCTATACATCCTACCTAAGGTCCTTGCCCTAGAAGCAAAGAATTTCAAGAGTAAACAAGGTGGACCCAATAAAGGCGTCGAGTGCAATCCACTCGACCTACCATTCACTCGGAGACTACTTCTTCTTTGAGTCACTCGACTATTCAACCACTCGACCATGTAAAAGACCACTCGACGTACAAGAAGACCTAAAGCCGTTCTACACAGCAACGGTTTGGCATTTACCCGTATATTTAATGATCATTTGTAACACTTTATTACAGACGTTACCTGTAACGCTCTCTCTTTATGAACATTGAACTCTGTGTAACGGAGGGGAGCTGGAGTCCTGACGCACTCTATATAAGCCACCCCCCCTCCTCTGGGACAAGGGTTCGCACCCCCTGTAACTCACACGCATATAATCCAGTCGACCGCCTCCGGGCTCCGAGACGTAGGGCTGTTACTTCCTCCGAGAAGGGCCTGAACTCGTAAAACTCGCGTGTACAACTCCTCCATAGCTAGGATCTTGCCTCTACATTCCTACCCCCCATTCTACTGTCAGACTTAGAACCACGACAACTACCGTTTTCATCACTGTTACACTTGCTACAAAACTACTGCTATCACTGTTATCATTATTGTTACTGTTGTCACTATTATCAAAACTATCATATTATTTTGCTATTGATCACGTTGCTGCAGATAATTAATCTCTAGGTGTGGTTGAATTGACAACTCAGCTGCTAATACCTTTAAATATTCTTTGGTTTCCCTTTTGTCGAATCTATAAATTTGGGTTGAATACTCTATTCTCGAAAATTATTGCGATCTCCTATACTTGTGGGTTATCAAGGAGCGGCAGCAACATCTAGCAGTGTGCAGCGGAGGAGGCGAGGAGGAGCGGCAGCTCGATTTGCTCGCTAGACGGCGGCGCGCGAGAATCTGTCGGTGGCGTGCGAGAGCATCAGCCATTTAATCGGTGGTTCGGTCTCGACAGTAGGTTCAGTTTCGACAATAGGTTTAGTTTCAACATTAGATTCAGTTTACATCACCAACTATACATTCTCTATTGGAGTTGAACTTTTACATCACCAATATACAATATTTCTTGGAGTTGCCTCTTTTTTCAAGATGTAAAATGCACTTCTTGATGATGTAAATTTTACATCTTCAAATTTGCATCATCGTAGATGCTCTTCAAGTTCTTTGACAAGAACTTAAACGAAACCGACGGAAAATAAGCGATTTACAAAGTTGCACACCAGAATTTATGTCAGTTCATACAAGTGTATAACTTTCTCTGATTCTCTCTGCTCTCTGTAAAAGAGAATATGCACATGACCGTCCTTGGTCGCACTTACCACGTCTCTCTCTCTCTCTCTCTCCTCCCGCTTCTTCCTCCACCCTCCCATTTCAGCGAGGAGACGAGAAAACAGTGAGGGCGCGCGCGAAAAAGACTCCACTGGCCCTCTAGGTGTCTCCAGATCACGCCCAAATTCGTGGCTCGTCCAGCCGCGAATTTGGTGGTGCCTTGTGTTGGTGCATTTTCCTAGACCTGTTCTTTCTGTGATTCCTTTTAATCCCTCCCGTGTTCTTGCGGCTGATTTCTTGACGGATTGAAGCGTCAGCGGATTTCTCCGGCTGCGTCTCCGGATTTCCTCGATCCGGGGGGCAATGCGGCTGCGCATTCGGTTCCCTGCCACGGAAGCCCCCCAAATCCCCCGCCATTGGTGATTATTTCTGAGCTTCCTCGCCTTAAAATCGGCGCGTTTCTCGGAGCACCTCGAGGCATCTGATTTCAGTTGGTCATCGCCGCGATTTTACGCGAACTTGGGCGGGGCATTGTTCTGAGTTTTTTTTTTTGTCAAAACATTTGTGCCGCGTCACTGGATTTCGTCGGCCAGTTGCTTCAGGGAGCTCACGGATTTGTTGTCCGTCGCCACAAACCTCCCGCCGGTAAGCCGGGGGAATCACATTGCGATGGTCGAGTCGGTGTAGGCAGGAGCAGGCAAAAGATGAGGCGGTGCAGGGGAGAATGGCTCCCCGCGCCGTACATCATCTCCGTGCTGCTCTTCCTACCAATGGCCTGCGGACGATTGCTCATTGGCGCAAGCGACACGTCGCCGCCACCTGCGCTGACACCAACCTTCATCAAGCAAGTTGACGATTGGGTGAGTAAATTTTCTATGTATTTCATCGCACTCGGTAGTAACATCTGTACTGAGATGGTGTCATTCCATAGTTTGTGATCAAGACCAAAAGTAGTTTAGTTTTGGTCATCTTAAGAAGTGAGAATTAACTTATTAAGTACTCCCTCTGTAAACAAATATAAGAGCGTTTAGATCACTACTTTAGTGATCTAAACGCTCCGATATTTCTTTACGGAGGGGGTATCAATCCTTTTGTTAGAGAAAAAACCGGTTCAGGAAGGCAGGAATTGCCACCATCGAGACCATAGAATGATAGAATTGCAAGGATTGCCCGGCTATATTTCTGATATGGTGTTTAGGTTGGTGCCCTCTCTCTATCAGCGCATAGGGTCCACATGTATGAGCTCATGATGCCGGCATTCAGAATTGTCATATGGTGCTCTTCGAATTACCTGTGACAGAAGAGATAAGATCACTGAATTTCTAGTGGTTCCCAGAGGCCACAGCTGTTTATGATTTTACTGCATTGAAAATACTGACTAATACAGATTAAAACCCTGCAAGCAGAAGCAGAGATTTTGAAACAAATTATTAACGTTCCCTCCTGTTAGGTACACATCACTGCACTGGTCGAACATCTTTATGCGCTGATGATATCTTAAATTTTAATTATTACTGCTTATTTAATGAGTAGCATGTGTCGGATTAACTCTGTTATTATTGGTATGATGCATGTAGACTTATTTTTTCCTTAAGTAAGGAATGTGATGATAATATGATATTGTTCGCAAATATAAGATGTTCTAACTTTTTTCTCAATCGGATGTATATAGACATGTTTTAGTGTGTTTGTTCACTAATTTCAAATTTCAGTCTGTATGTAGTCCATTTTGAAATATCCAAAATATCTTATATTTGTGAACAGAGGGAATAGTCTCTAACTGCTGACTCTCACTGGTACTTCATGGTAGTTTATATTTTTAATGGTCTGGTTTATCATATTATTATTCTGAAAAGGATGCACACCCAGTTTATCTCATCAGGATCTGTTATTGATTAATTTTCACGTACTGACAAGGGTGACCACTCGTTATGATATCTATAGGTGGAACACGCGTGGCTCAAATGTGGATTGGACAAGAAAAGCCTTCAAGATGTTAGAAACTACTACAACTACAACCATGTACTTGATATCATCCATAGGATATCTGATAATAAGGGAACTTCCCCTGTCATTGCAAAAGGTGCAGGCCCATTGACACCAGATATCAAGCAAACTTTGCTGACCTGCTTAAGCAAACAGAATTTTGAGGTTCCAAAAAACCTACCCGATGGTTATATCAAAACACTTATCGCCTCAATAAGAGGAGAGCTGACTCCGGGACCTGCTCCTGCAAATGAAGCAGTAAAACCTCCGACAGGGAAACCAGCTGACGGTGCTTCATCAGAAGCAACTACAAAAAAGGCAGTGCCTGCAACTAAATCAGTGGGGAAAAAAGACAGCGATGGCATGCCAACTACCACTATCGTTGGTGTGTCCCTGGTTGTTATCGCACTTTTAGCTCTTCTCTGCGTTGGCTGCTGCATGTTCCGTGAAAGCCAGAGTTCTGCGGCTTCTGCCTATGATAATAAGCAACTCCTGAATCTATGTAATGTCTTGTATCATCCATTTTGCTCCAAGTCAACGTTTTTCTTTCTTCTATCACTGACTTTTATGCTTTCATTTGCAGCGGATTCTTGCAAGTCTTCCAGTGTAAATCTAATAGATGTCACTAAGCTGGGAGCATTGCCATTGCAGTCAGAGGCTGGCCAAAATGGCCATGTGAATCAAAGTTCACAGGAAGGCCCAAACACTGATCAAATTGACTATGTGAGACTAAGTTCACAGGAAGGCCCAAACACTGATCAAAATAACCATGTGAAACTAAGCTCACAGGAGGACGCAAACACTGGTCAAATTAGCTATGTGAAACTAAGCTCACAGGAAGACCCAACCAGTGGTCGAAATAGTGATGCGAAGCTAACTTCGCAGGAAGACCCAAACACTGGCCAAAATAACCATGTGAAGCTCACTTCGCAGGAAAGTGTAAACACTGATCCAGCAATCTACAGCAGTTCCGCCGAGCCAATGGCTGCTTCTGTTGGTTCTGTGCAAGTCAACACCAATGCCCCAACCAATGATTCCACCTCCAGCACATCCTCAAGTACTTGCGCCTCAACCAAAGGCTCCTCCTTCACCACCAGCTCCTCAAGCACTTGAGCCGCCTCCGAATGCTTCTCCAGTTCTTTCCTCTGGACCTTCACCGCCACCAGCTCCAAAAGCCTCCCCGCCTCCGCCCTCAGGACCCTCACCGCCTACTGCTCCAAAAGCTGCACCACCACCACCACCACCATCAAAATCTGGTGGACCTCTCCCGCCACCACCAGCGCTGCCTGGTTCTTCCAAAATGCGTCCACCACCACTTATGAAGTCAGGCAATAAAACAGACACAGATGCGGATTCTAGTGAAGCTAAAACAAAGCTTAAGCCCTTCTTTTGGGATAAAGTAGCAACAAATGCTAATAAATCAATGGTGTGGGATCACCTTAAAGCTGGATCATTCCAGTAAGTTGGTAGAGATAGCTGAGCTATATATCTAGTTATCTACTACTATTGTAAGATCGCACCATTTTATAACTAAATGGTACTTCTTCACAGGTTAAGTGAGGACGCTATTGAAACACTTTTTGGTTGTAATGCTGACAAGAAGAGCGGTGATGGCAAAAAAGATTTAACATCAAAGGAAGCTGCCCAAGTTGTGAGGATACTTGATCCTAAAAAGGCACAGAATCTGGCCATATCATTGAAGGCGTTGAGTGTTTCAGCAGAGGAAGTTTCTTGTGCAGTTAAGGAAGGTAAGTTTATACTGTGCAAGTGCATAGCTCTTCCTGGACGAAATGCGGCTTCTTCTGATTCTTGCCAGTCTTGTAGATACAGTTATTTTATTTTATTTTTGGGCAAAGCTCCAGTTTTTTTTAAGTTGCAGTGATACATCGAATACTTATCCAGCTTCTGGTCTATAACTCCATGCAATAATATATCAGCTGCGTATATCATTTGTGTCTTCACAATCAGGAGTTACGGCTATTCTTCTGTGCTAAGGACAATGAATCACTTGATTTCATTTGTTTCTTCTATTTTTCAAAGCAAATAGTACACATTTCTGCTAAACTGATGTGAGTCTTGTCCTCTAGGTTAACTCTAATTCTTTAGCTAATAACAAAGTCAGCAAGAGTATGTAGCACACAAGTGATGTCAAATGCTCAAATCGGCATTTGGTTCTAGACTTAACCACATTTGTGTGCATCTGGCCTCCATATTTTGGGAATGGACGCCTCAAGCATGGGTTCATGTGCTTCTGACTATTCTATTTGGACATTTAGAACAAAGAACATGTTGATTAAATCCTATTTCCTGATAACATCTTTTGCCTTATCAATTTCCCTCGATAATGTGTAGGAAATGAACTTCCATCCGACTTGATACAGACCTTAATTAGATGGGTCCCGAATACTGATGAGGAGCTCAGGCTTCGACTATATACTGGGGAACTCTCACAGCTTGGTCCTGCAGAGCAGTTCTTAAAAGCAATCTTCGACATTCCTTATATCTATGAGCGCCTGGATGCATTACTTTTCATGGCTGGTTTACCAGAGGAAGCTTCAAATGTAAAGCAATCTTTTGCCACCTTAGAGGTAATAGCATTACCATTATGACCTACTCCCTCTGTTCCTTTATATAAGGTGTATTTCTTTTTTGATAAAATTCCAGAATGTAAGGTGTATTTCTTCTAATTTCTCATAATTCCCTTGTTAGCCCTCCAGAAATATGGAAAGTATCTCTCTGATGATTGTCTATATCTCTCCTTATAGCAAAAGAAGGAAACTATCTATCTGCCAATTGCATGTATCTCTTACTTTCCTAAAGTTATTGATTTATTTGCCACTACCCAATAAATTGGCCAAGGGTAATTTTGTCCTAACATGTCTATAATTATGTGCCTTGGTCACCGTGCCAAAAATAACACACCTTACATAAAGGAACGGAGGGAGTATTTGGCTTCCACACTATATTCAGTTCTGTTGTATGACTTGTATCAGTTTTGTTTGATGCTCTATAATCCTTTAACCGATGAACATTTTTATCAAGTAATAATAGAGATTATCGTTGTGTAGACGTTACCACTCTTCCTGCACCTTGATGTTTCTACTGATCTTCTTATCTCTGCTATGTTGGCATTTAAATCCTGATCAGATGGCTTGTGAGGAGCTTAAAAACAGCCGTCTATTCTTGAAGTTACTAGAAGCTGTACTTAAAACAGGCAACCGGATGAATGTTGGCACGTTCCGAGGAGGAGCTCAAGCGTTCAAACTAGACACCCTGCTCAAGCTTTCCGACGTCAAAGGAACTGATGGGAAGATAACGCTGCTGCATTTTGTTGTTCAAGAGATAATCCATTCTGAAGGTGTCCGTTCTGCACGGGCTGCAAAGGAGCAGAAGGGCAGCGTATCCAGTGTGGACAACAATGATCTTATTGAAGAGGAGTATAAACAACTAGGTCTGCAGGTTGTGTCCAGTTTAGGAGATGAACTTCAAAATGTCAGGAATGCAGCAATCCTTGATGCAGATCAGTTGACTAGGTCGATAACAAGTGTTGGCCACAGGCTCGGCAAAACCAAAGAATTCTTGAACACAAGCATGAAAAGTCTGGATGAAGATAGTGGGTTTCACCGCAAGCTTGTGCATTTCGTGGAGCAGTCTCAAACTGATGTTACTTTCCTGCTAGAGGAAGAGAAGAAAATACGGTCCTTGGTAAAGAGCACTGTCGATTATTTCCATGGGAGGACAGGGAAGGATGAGGGCCTTCGGTTATTTGTCGTAGTGCGGGATTTTCTCGCAATGCTTGACAAGGTGTGCAATGAGGTGAAAGAAGCATCAAAAGTAGCTCCAAAGAAAACGAAGACTGAAGTTACTCTGCCTTCCCGCACACCCAGGTCTTTTCAAGATCCCCGGCGTAACCTTTTTCCGGCAATTAAAGACCGGAGGGCACATAGTTCAAGCTCTAGTTCTGACGAGGGAAGTTAACTCTAAACGAAGGTACTCTGCCTACCTTTTCCTTCCAGCGCTTGGAGGTTTGCCCTTTGAAAACATTAGTAAGACGAGATGAAAAATGAGAGCTAAAGAAAAAGCAAGAGATAGAAAATTGACGATAAAGCGAACTCTGGCTTTGGTCACTTGTTGCAGCAACAGAATAAAATTGCTGAAGGAAGGCAGTCATCTTCCATAACGTCCTTGACAGGCAATTGTTGCACTTTGGCTCCTATCAAACAAGCAAAGGTGATATTCATGATCAAGATGGAGAAGTCGAAACGGAAGCCGTCGAAAGGGGCGGCGAAGAAAACTGACCCCTTAGTTAGGGCGGGCGTGCAGAACAGGGAGGGAGGAAGAAGCAGCAGGCTGGCTGACTGACTCTGACACTGCCTGCTGTTTTTTCGCTTAGCATTTGTACCATCACAGAAAGGAGAGGAATAAATACAGTATTTTTTTTAGGGGAATAGTGTGTTAGAAAGAAAGAGATGCACCACACAGGCTCATAGACATTGGATTCTTTTGCCTGCGCTTGACAATACTTTTGCAAAGAGCAACGCTGTAAATTGCCATGCTTTCAACTGAAACATCCTGTGTGTTCGCGTCATGTGAGTATAATCTGGGCGACTTGGTGTGCCTTTTGCAATGTGGAGTGAGACCTGGTACCAGATTCGCACTGCTGTGCTGTCGTCGCTTCGTTTCCTCTATCTGTACCTACCGTTTCCGCACCGTCTGGATAGTCAGGGCGCTCAAAACAATGTGCAGCGCTGCTATATTTGGAGTGATAATTGTTTCATCTCCGTGCCATTTCTCTAGGGAATCCTTTTTTATCCCAGCTGGTGTTAGATCGCAAGTATTTCCCGCCTAAGCACTGTTTCCAAATGTCTTGGCTCATCAAAAACTTGGCCATACAAAATCCACAACTCCCCGCCAAAATTCCATTATCCCTAACTCGATCCATAGCACACCTATGGATTGTGAAGGAAAGCACATCCGTAGTCGAAAAGTTACCAAGACTAATGCCAAAATACAGCTTCACAGATTAATTTTAGTAAGTATTTCACAGCTATATCGAGTTTTCTAACCATGAAAGAATTAAGCAAGAATAGACCATGGAAATTTTCAACCAAGAACAGAGTGGTAGAAATTCGCAAGTAAGCAATCCATAGGTGCAACTTTTATAGAACGAACTAGCAACGACTTACACAGGATGTAACCATTGTCCACACCTAGTTTAGCACCGGTACAAGCACACAGATTCAGAAACTAATAGTAGTACTAACATCCTAGAAGTAAAACGCAACACCTAGGCAACATTTAACTGAACACGCTACTACACAGAACTGGATACAGCCGAGCACCCACGACCACCGAGGAGTCGTCATCTAGCTATCGTCGTCGGCAGCCACGGCCTTGCTGCCTCCGGCCTTCTTGGGGAGCAGAAGGTTGTGGATGTTGGGCATGACACCACCGCTGGCGATTGTGACCATGCCGAGCAGGCGGGAGAGCTCCTCGTCGTTGCGGACGGCGAGCTGGATGTGGCGCGGCACGATGCGGGTCTTCTTGTTGTCCCTCGCCGCGTTCCCGGCCAACTCCAGAACCTGCACAAACAAGAGAATCGCAGCGGTTACTTCCAAAATTCCACAAAGTCTCGAGTGCAATTAACAAGCAGAACCGCCTAAGCCCAGACAAATCTGAGAGCAGGCAGAGGCAAGTGTTATCCTCATCCGAAACCCTAGAAATATTCCCCAATTTGCCGAACCAACCACCGATTGACGAGACCGAAAGAGACACCAACCGCTCGAATTCACCACCCAAAGAAGCAAAATCGGGCATCGGGTAACAGAATTCCACGCACCTCAGCGGCGAGATACTCGAGCACGGCGGCGAGGTAGACGGGGGCGCCGGCACCGACCCTCTCGGCGTACTTGCCGGCCTTGAGGAACCGCGCGATCCTGCCGACGGGGAACTGGAGCCCAGCCTTGGAGCTCCTGGAGATGGCCTTCTTGGCAGCGCCCGAGCCGATCGCCTTGCCCCTTCCGGCCATGTCTACAGTGCTTGGAGGGGATCCGCGGTTGTGAAATGGAAAACGAGGCGCCGGGAGGAAGTGCGGAAGCGGTGTGGTGTGGGTATACGGCTGGTAGGCAGGAGCGGTGGGTGGGGATTGGGTTATATAGGCGAGGGGATCCAATGCGAGGAGAGTGCGCGGATCGGTGACGTGGCGGAGATTACGTGCGCCGAGCGGCGAGATCCTGTCCGTCAGATGGGAAGAGCCCTGGGGCGGTTGGTTTTTGGTTTGCCGCCTCGGATTTTCGCCGTTTCGGGGTCGGTCGTACGCCGCCGGCTTCGGGGTTTCTATTCGGCTGTTTTTTTTTCCTTTTAAGAAAGCTACGTGTTTTTCTAGAGGCCCTTGCCTGGTCTTAAGCCCTTACAAATCCAACATGTCCGTCAAAGTGACACAATGTTTAGCAAGCAACAAAGTAAAGCAAAAGAGATACATGCACGAAGGCGACTATATAGCGGCGTAACGCTAGCATAGACGATGAAGAAAACACTAAAGGCTATCGGGGTAGCAAGGGATGGTGGCTTGCCGGTAGTGTCTCCTATGTCGAACGTCGAAGCTCGGTGCACCTTGCTCGCACCATTGAGACGAGCTCCTCTACATGTCCTTTTGTCCTGTGATTTTGCCAGTAGCTTCTGTAGCTGCAAGAAAGACATCAATTTGTATAACAGATCAGTCAGATGTCTGATGAATTGTCCCTCTATCAAAGCTTTATTCCTTGTTATCCAACGTGACCATGCGGTAAAGATTGTTTGTTACTGTCCGTACGGCACTCCACACAAATCGGGCCATGATGCATCGACATAAGATGTGATCACGATCTTCACATTTCCCACACCAGATGCATTTGCCATTGCCCGGGCCTTTTCTTTTCTGCACCTGGTCACCACTCGTGATTCTATTGCGTGCCATTTGCCACAAAAAGATTTTTATTTTGGCAAGTAATCTTGCCTTTCATACCCCGGATAGGTTGCAAGGGGTTAAAGATTTGAAGATCTCCTTGTATAAAGAACCTGTAGAAAATTGGTCGGATGGCTCCAAACGCCAAACTACCTCGTCCCTTCCCTGACTAAGCCGGTGCCCTCGAAGTTTTATACGTAGGTTTTCCCACTCTATGACTTCCGCATCCCCAAGGATCGGCGGAACTGTGGTGCCCATCAGCCACGTTGCCATACATCCGCAACCTTGGCGGCTTGGTCGGCGGCAATGGCAAACAAGGTCAGAAAAAGGGCGTGGAACCTACAATCTTCACACCAAATATCCATTCAGAAGCATGTTGCTTTGCCATTGTGCACTATAAATTTGGTCTATGAACGAAGGAGAGGCTGCACTTTCCTAACGTCCCTAAAATTATGATAGTTTAATGTTCCTCCTAAAGTCCACACCCCCATGGACTAGATACTTTCGACTAAATATATCTAACCATAATCCACCCTATTCAGTTAGGATCTTTCATGCCCACTTTGTCATGCGATGCCCGTTCATTAATTTAGGTGTTAATGACCCCTAGGCCGCCCACCTCCTTTGGCTCACAATTGTTCTCCCAACTCACCATGTCGTATTTATGTTTCCTATTTTCTTTCGCCTAGAAAAAACGGGATCAACCCTTATTTAATTTCTCATGGATGCCGCCTTGAAGTAAGTAAAACCCGATAGTGAACATCAGAAAGTTCGTTAGGTAGTCATTAATGAGGACTAGCCGACCACTAGACGCTAATAATTTGCCTTGTCATGGTTCCACCCTCGCAGCTGTTTTATCCACCACGGGTCGGAAATTCCCCATAGTTAATGCTCTCAAGGATATGGGCATGCGCACGTATTTCAAAGGGATGGTGAGTCCTATCGGCGGAGTCCTGGAGTTTGGACACACTTCCTCCAATCGTGTAACGCCCCGAGACCGAAGCTTCACATGCCTTCCATGTTTTTCGAGGTTCATCGGGTGATTTGTTTTGTCTGTTGCATTCATCTTTGCATCATGTCATCATGCCATCATGCCTTTTTTTTAAACTCAACTAAATAAAATGCATAGATCCTTGATCTATTTAAATCGAGGGAACTCACATGGTGATTTCTCTACATAACATACCCTCCCAATATTAGGGAGATATAATAAATATTCCATTCTTTTGAAATTAACCATAACACACGTGCAAAATATTTCCCATGTTTATTTCCTCTTCGAGTTTGACCTTCAAACCTTGCCCACTATTCTCTTACCATTTACCGAGGTTCCTCCAAAAATCCGAACATTTTTGGACACTTCTAAAACCAAGTCCTAGTTCAAACCCATTTGAATTAAATTCAAATGAGTTTGAATTTACATCTTTCAATCATGGCCATTTCTGTTTTCTCGAAACAAGCACGTTTTTGTGAGTCCGGGAAATTTGTCCGCGTGTCCAACTTCTTCCCCTAACCCCCTCTTTCTTTTTCTCCTCTTTATTTGTTTTCTGTTAAAGGAAATAATGAGAGAAGAGAGAGGGAGAGCAGCCCAATCAGTCCGGCCCTTTTGCTCAACCAGACCCACCCACCAGTCTCTTAGGCCTGCCAGGCCGGCCCATTTGCCTTAAGGCCCAGCCGCCCCCCCTCTCTATTGGGCCGGCCTCCAAGGCCCACTTCCCCCGTAACCCTAGCGAGCCGCTCCTTCCCTTCGTCGGCCTCCAGCGCCGCACGCGCACGCAGCCACCCTCTCCTCTCGATCTCTCTCCCTCACTCCCTCGTCCTCCTTGACATCGCCGTCCTCCCAGCACCGTGAGCCTGCTCCGCCGCCTCCGCACCTCCCATGCCTCTGCCGCGCCGGCCTGCGACCGTAGCCGCCATCCTTGTCCGCGCCCAGAGGAGCACGCCCGCCGAGCTCTGTCGATCCGCCGCCGCCATGAATGGCCATAGGAGCGCCAATGTCGCCAAGCCACGCGCCCCTGCTTTTCCTCGCCCATTC